AGAGGTTACATAATGGATTTGTATAGGATGTTTGGATAGGGATGATCCTGCCTTAGGCAGGGGGTTTGACTAGATCAGAGGTGGGCAAAATGCAACCCGCCAGCTGCATCTAGCCCACCAGGTGATTTTATCTGGCCCACGGGCACCCACCAATTAATTGTACCCCACCCAACCCATGTGCTTCGCTCCCACCCTCATGCACAGGAGGGCTCCAGCCCTGGCTGCAGCTTCAACCAGCACACAGCTTCTGGGTCAGGCCACTGCTACAGCCACCAGGGGATCTGCTTGGCTTCCCCAGTCTCCAATGGCTCCACCTCATGTCCCTGCTGCAGCACTCACTCTGGGCAGCAATTAGGGAAGTGCAGCGGGCAGGTAAGGAGCGCAGCACACGGGGTTGGGGCTGGTGGGAGTCCCGAGGCATGAAGCCTGTGACTAGCGGGGCTGCGGGAGCACAGAATCCAGCTCCAGCTGGTTCCATCACATGGGGCTTCCTGCAGCTCATGTGCAGCTTCCGGGACTTGCCCACCTCCGGGGAGAAGCCCCATGCTATAAATCCATCCGTCTTCCCACTCCTGCCTCCACATGCAGCATCCAGGACTCTGCCGGAAGTGGCAGGAAGCCCTGCTCCCTGTTTCTCAGCTGAGTCCCAGAAGCTGCACATGGCAGCAGGGAGCTGGGCTAGGCCACTGGCTCCATTGTGCAGGGCTTTCCCCAAGTGGCACACAAGTACTGGGAGTTGCACATGAGGTGCAGGGAGCCTTGTGCGACAGAAGTGGGCTGGCCTGGCTCTGCTCCATGCTGCCACATGCAGCTTCCAGAACTGGCTGGAGCCACGTGCCACCAAGTGTCAACACTTACACAGGCCATAAACACTCTGAGGGCCTGCTGATGGCAGAGGCTGTCTCCTGTGGGGGGGTCCCCATAATCTCTCACCCACCCTCACACCTCAAAAACCCATATACCCACAACCACACCCCCCACAGGCCCCCAAACATACACACACCCACACCCCCCACATATACTGCCACACCCCCACCCACATCCCACTATACACACACATCCACATCCCATGCACTCCCCCACACACAATATACAAGAGTAAGCTGGGATGGGGGGCAGAGGTTGGCAGGAATGGGGGGGCAAGCAGGCTCAGGGAAGGAAATCGGGGGGTTTGCAGGGGAACTGGGGGGACAAATGGGTCCATGGGGGGACTGGGGGCAGGCCAGGTCCACAAAAGTGATTGGGGGAGCAAGCTAGGACCACAAGGGGGTACTGATGGAGTCTCTACAGGGGGGGTTGGGGGAATTAGCAGCGAAGGTAATATTTGTGAAGGGATAAGGGGGACCAGGGAGATCAGAAGGGCTAGAGGGACCGGGCGGGATTAGGGGAGATCAGGGGGCCAGGCCAGGTCTGTGGGAGGGATAAGGGGGACTAGGAGGGTTGGTGGGGTCTGGGAGGGTTTCGCAGGATCAGGAGGCTTGTAAGGTCCACAAGGAGACATGGGGGGGGCTCTCTTCCCCACCTCCTGGGAACAGGAACTATTTTTAGCCTCCAACCCTCCCCCAAATGAACAATCCCTCCCAGAAAAACAATCCTCCCATCACGACTTACTTCCTATTTCACAGCATCAGCGAACACTGGAAAAACTGGCACCAAGAGCAGCTTGAGATGGGGAGTTTGGTAGGCTTGGGGTACAGGGGAAGTGACTAGCTGCCTGGTCCATGCTGAGAGCTGTCTTTCTGGGGGTGGGGTAAGGAGCCAAGGGAGATGCTAAAAATAGCCTAGTGTTGAGGGGTGGGTAGGAAAAGTGCAGTCCAGAGGCTGGGGCCAGTGGCTGGCCTTTCCCAACCCAGTGCTGTGCTAGGAACTGTACAGAAGTTCAATTAGATCAGTCTCACTGGTGTAAGTTAGACTACCTCAGAAGTATTCCTAACTTCAATTGGGTCAGCCATTTTTAGACCAATATAACCTTCCTGAACTTTTGTACAGTTCACACTTACATCACCTAACTAGGGATCCAAGTGTAAGGTCCACACCTGGGCAAACTAAATTAGATCAGGTGGCCATTTTTAGTGTAACTTAACCTCCTGCTACCCACCTTGAACATCTGTGTGTATTATATATGTCAGAACCCCATTGGCATAATGAGAATAACTATACTTCTACTAGACAGTGGCACTGCAAAGATGCATTAAAATCTGCTCCATCTCTACAGTAACAGGAGCCACGTAACTACATACAAGTTCCCTCTGACCTTAGCAAAAGCAACTCTAGTTTCCTGAAATCTTTTTACAAGATTTCTAGGAGATTGTTTAATTGTTCTTTTAAAAAAAAATAAAATAAAAGATTTGACTTAATAAATGTTGGGATCCAAACATTACTCAAGTTCACTAGCACTGCAGTTTGGTTGTTTCAAGACTCAGACTCTCTTATCATTTACGACTTATAAAGGTAGCTGTTCCTTAAGTCGGTCACTAGTACTTACAATACCATATGTTAAATAATTATTAAATAATGATATAATTATTAATACTAACAGAAGCATACTGGCTTCTATTCCATTCAGGAGAGCACACAAGACACCAGCAGACTCTCCTTATGCCTGAAGAAGCGTGCTTGTGCCTGAAAGCCTGCAAACAATTTTTCCAACTATACAGTTGTTCTAATAAAAGATGAAAAGAACCTTGTGTCACTAATATTTAGACACTATTGTTATGTGTTTATACAAGCAGCTAATCAGTGGATGCATCTACATCAGCTGCCCACTGCACAGTTGTTACTGCGCAGTCATTTAGTCCCTGCAAAACCAAGTACTAAATGACTGTGCAGTAACTGGCGTTTCTGCACAGTAGCATACTGTCATGGCTGCCTAGTGACACTTATTGTACAGTAGCTCGTTACTACTGTGCAGCAGTGTCGCATCACAGTTTGTGCCCAGTGACATTACTGCACAGTAAGTGTCTCACGTAGACGTGGCCAGTATGTACCATCTGTCCTGCCCAATTCACATAACATGCAAATCTGTTAAAATTAGAAGATAGTCAGCCTGACTTTTAGCTCAAATTTTTGACATATGTATTCTACCTCGAGATCCCTGGTTGAAGATTTGGTAATGGACAAGATGCACATTTGTGCAGTACCTAGTGCAATAGGAATCTTGGTCTGTGACGACAGCACTACGTGCAGTAGTACAGGTTCAGCCACAAACAAACAATAATATAATCTAGACCAGTGTTTCTAAAACCTGTGGGTCGCAAGAATATATGAAGGGGTCACGAACAAACTTTAAAAATGGATTAACAAGCTTTAAAAAAAATGGTTTATCCTTTAAAGGAGAAAAATGTAGGAAACCATGGCTTTTCCCTTGCAGGCTGGCAAAGTTCCAGCCTACAAGGGGCTGCTTGGGGCTCTCCATGCCCCCCGCCCACCCTAACCCCACACACTGGGGGACTAGGGCCTGGGGGCAGGGTGTAGTGGGTTGTGAATGAGGGGCACTGAGTCAGGACTAGCCATTGACGTTTATAAGTGGGTCCTGGTACAAAAAAGGTTGAGAACCACTGATCTAGACAAAGCTGAAAACAGGCAAAAACTCAGTAGTGAAGCTATCAAAAGAAACTACAACATCACTCAAACACTACCAAAAGAAACCTGATGTATTTGAAAAACAGGGGACCTAGCAAATCTTTATCATCTCTGTGCTCAGCTGTCTGGCACCAGAACAAGGAGCTTTACTATACTACACAGGAGAACATCAGTTAACAACAAGTGTGCTTTAGCCAGCTGACAGCCCTATAAGTTAAGGTTAAAGCAGATAAAAAGAAAATCTTTTAATCCTCCTCCCCACCCTACCACCCCCAAATTTATTATGTTCTAGTGCATACAGTTTGCTTAGAAGAATTAAGAGTCACAAGATAATTCCAGCTGCATAAAAAAAAAAAAAAAAAAAAAAAATCACATTAACTGGAAAGGGTTGGTAAAAGCATCTCTTTCATCAAGAAGGTCTTGAAAAGTCCCAGACTTCTCTCTGCTATGTCTGAAAATCCATGACAGGAAAGAATCTAACCAGACCCTTCTTAAGATACAAATATAATTTGAATGAGCTATTGTGCAGCGGAAAAATTAAATAGCTCGAGGTTTGTTTTTTGGGGGGGAGGGGTGTGAAGGGTTGGTGAAGAGAGGGTTCAAAAGATGTGTTGCTATTCTACTGTATGATCAGACAGACTAATGTCAATCTGTGTGTATAAAACAAAGCTGCATTTAATAAGTCAATAGAAATTTTAGAAGGCAGTAGAAGAAACTGGAGTATAACTTAGACCCAGTGAGTTCAGCTGGAACTGGATGGGGCTGAGCACACAAAGTTTAAATTTAGTTGTTCATTTGGTTCCAAACTCTCTCTCCTTATTCCTGCTAAAGTTAACAAAAAACTAATTTCAATAGGAGTGATTTCCTGTATAAAAATGATCTTTTATCTTATGCATGCAAAAAATACAGGAGAATCTACTGGACTAAACATTATATGAGACAAGATAATAGCTGGCAAGTGAGTCTGACATGGAAGAGGGTCAAAGTTGGAAATATGACCTCATCTGCTGTTTGAGTGATGAGGACTTGATAGGAGATAATTTTTCTGTCTGCAGCTCTTCTAGTATGGCAATGAAAACATATGGTTTCATATCAAGCATTAGGTCCAGAAGAAATTTTGGGCAGAGAACTGGAACTGCACCTTAAAAAACAGCGACATTCCTCACGGAAGGCTAGAAAGGCCAGTGAAGAGGGGAAAAAACAAACTTTCAGGATCAGAGATAAAAGCCTCCCTTCCGAGCACTGCAGCATGCTCCTTAAAGTTCATATTCTTCTTGATCTGAGCAGACTCTACTGCAAAACCAAAAGCTTGTCTTAGTAACGAAAAGGGTAGCAGACCAGCCAAAAGAGAAAGGGGAAACTATTTTCAAAGCATTTAGCTCAAATGCACTATCAAATATGGGAAAAATTAATCTTACCTGCATATTTTGTGGTGTTTGATTCATCCATGGACCAGAAGCAGTAATCAAAGGCAAACACCTGCAACAGAACATGAGAAGATAAATGAAGAGCTTCCCAGATACAAGACACTTCTGCCGTGAAACACTACACACTCATACCTATTTGAATGGCAGATGTACCATGCGATTTTCACAGGTCCTAGAACAGATCTGGGAAGGGCTCCATCAGCAATACTATACTTTGGAAGCCTTGCAGAGGTTCAAGGTCTGGACTGCCATATACATTATAAATAATTCAAAATACTGTTTAAAAAGACGTGTACAGCCATAGTAATGAGGTATGCAGAACACTTAAAAAAAATAAAGGTATTTGAGCCACATTTATCCTCCTGTATTTAAGAGTTTCCCCAGAGTTGGTTAATTCAGTTTGTTCCATGCAGGGAGAGTAATACAGGTGAGGCCTGTAGCATTAAGGTTGCCCGACATAACATAAGAGGCTGTTTTCAATTGCATAGCACTTTGCCAAGATGAATATTTGATAGGGCTGTGTGAAGCTTTGGTTGCTGATTCGATTTGGAGGAGATTCAGCCTGATTTGGTGGCCGAATCTCCGAATTCAAGTCAGAAGACCAATAAAAAAGGTCCAAATCAATTCAAAGCTTCTGAATCGATTCTGAAAAGATTTCGAGAGATTCAGAGATTTGGGCAGTCCCTGCTCGCCGCTGCAGGGAGCTGGACCCAGACTCTGTGCCGGGAAGTGGAGCGGGGGGGGAAGGGGGCTGGAAGAGGGGACTCTAGGGGGACCCCCACCAGGCCCAATCCCCTGCCTGCTCCCCCAGCCCCTCTGAGCACCAACTCGGGGGATGGTGATTCATTTCAGTGATTCGAATTGCTGTCCTGAATCAATTTGGCTGAATCTGATTTGGAGATTCAGCGGCTACTGAATCAGCTGAATCTCTGAATCGAAGAGGCCCCATCCCCTGCCCACTTTCCCAACCCTGTCAACAGCTGCCCCGCCCAGCCCCAGTGTCTGGGCACATAAAGAAAGAAAAAAAAAAAAAGCTACAATGGCCATTGGGGCTTCTGGCAGAGTTCCCCATGCAGTGTGGGGCAGTGGGGATCATCCCCTTGCCTGGGCAGGAGCTGGTGAGTGCAGGGCTTTTAAAAAAAAAAAAGTGCCAGGACACTGTGGCTGGACAGGGCAGCCATTGATGGGGCTGGGAGAGCAGGCGGGGGATAAGGCCTGTTCAGTTTGGAGTTTCAGCCGATTCAGTGGCAGCTGAATCTCCTAATCAGATTTGGCCAAATCGATTTGGGACAACGATTCAAATCACTGAATCGAATCACTGTCCCCTGAATTGGTCGAATATGAATCCAAAGCAAATACTAGCCACTTCACACAGACCTACTGTCTGAGCTGAATGCTCATGCTGAGAGTCTATTTCAGGCAGTTTTGTGTTGTTTTTTGTTTGTGGGGGGAGGTGGAGTTTAAGTAAAAGTAGTTCAAGCATTTCTGAAAAGCAAAACAAAACAATCCATTCTCAGAACTTTTTAGGTAGCTGTACCATGTATTAAGAAGAGTAGTTTGGCATTTAGTGAGGGCTGTGTCATTTGATGTTCCCTGAAATTTCATAAATTTGGCCAAGTCATAGGCCCTTTAAAAATCTCCATTTGCACATGCTCAACAGCAACCTCTTTGATTTTAGCTCAAAAATCTCCCCAAATTCCATGCATGCTAAGTATATCCCAGGCCATCACAGCTCTCACCTGCAACCAGATTGCATGTGCACTGTCCCCACAAAACAAGAAAGCTCATGCCCAGAGCTACAGTGAAGCCTAATTTCCATGTAGTAGCTGTTCTCACCTAACCCTAGACCAGACACTGGACCTGAGAACAGGGAGCCTGGCTCTCTTGCATTCTCAATTTCTCCTTTGCTGGCACCCAGACAGTGTGGAGGACAATGAAAACCAGTTTGAATGCCAAAGGGAAAACAGCTAGACAGAATGTGGAGATAAAGGATAGACTGAAGAAAGAAACCTGGTCAATCTGGGATTTGAAGACTGAACATGAAGGCTAGGGACAGATACTCAAAAAGCTGGAGCCTAAATTGATTCAATCTTTGCAGGTTAGTCTAATCTGCCTAGGCTGAACCAGTTTGTAATATGACAAACATTCTCCCTGGACTGAGGAAATGCAAACACATGCTTGCAGTTGCTCAGACCAGGTGCTGGGGGCACTACAGCATGCCCTCGGCTGCAGGGAAGTGTGTGTGTGTGGGGGTGGTGTCCAGGTTGAACTGGCCAGAGAGGGTGTTAATTCCCCCCTCTCTTTACCACTGGCAAGGACCCAAGCCAGCAGCAGCAGGGTACCATGGCCTCTGAGGCAGAGGGGACCAAGGAATAATATTAATCTCCCCTCTATCTCCACTGGCAGCTGGGTCTGCCCACCATTGCTGCCATGCTCACTCCCTGTGAAGGAATAAGCCCCTGCTGTCTCCCCCGCTGGATGCCAGAGGGAGGAAAAATAGCCCCACCCCATCCCGGTCCCCTCCCGCCACCAAGGGGCCCTGCCAGGTGGTGTCTGGACATGCCACCACCCCATGGCTGCAGTGGGAGGGGGCAGGGCCTTTGATGGGGGCAGTAGCCCCTGTCATTATGTCACGGAGCACAAGCCCCTTCCTGGCACACGGCATAGCTGCAGCGGGCTGTGCGCAGCAGCACCAGGGTCCACTCCAAGCCTCCCACAGTGCTACCACGCTCCGCAGCAGCTCTGCCCACCCTGCAGCACAGCCCCCTGATGGGAAGAAGCTTGCACATGGGGAAAACGTGACAGGGATTGCTGCCCCTGTCACAGTCTCTCCCCCCATGACACACCAGGGGCTGGGCAGGGGCAGAGCCAGATGCCGCCAGCAGGACCCCAGAGCTGGGGGGTGAGGGGGAGCAAGGGGGAAGGAAGCAGAGTTATTCCCTCTTTTGCCCTTGGGGCACTGCAGCCAAGCCGCAGTGGTTGCTTGGTCTGCACTCAGGACAGTGTCCAGTGGAATATGCTCCCTCCTGCTGGAGAGGGATGGCCCCAAGCACAGACCAAGTGGTTGCTGCGCCTGGGCCAAGCAGATCCAAATCAGATTCTTCCAGTAGCAAGAAATAACACCAACACCAGCAGCAGCATTTCCCACACGTGGAAGGTCTGTGCGAGGCTGACTGGGGCTACTGGAGATACGTGACCCCTCTGGATCCCCAGCCTCCCCACCAGCTGCGGAGGACATCATCATTGGCCAGATTGGACCTTTGCAGGCCATAAATTACCCATCCCTGATTAAACTTACAGGTGCATCATTGCTCAGAATATTTGTATGTGATGCTGGGTGTGCATACTAGACTAGTCAGTCAGAAGTAGACCTCCATTGTTCTAGACCCCGTGCAAATGCTGACTAAGAGACAAGAATGTGACTAATGCAGAAACAGTGGAAACTTTGCTCTGCTCAGAATAGGAGAACTACTCTTTGGGGTTGGACTGCTTATGTTCTTCCCAGCTACCAGCAGATAAGTTAACTGTCACAACCCAAAAGAGTTTCCTTGTATAAGGAAGGAGAATTCTGAAAGCTCAGTGAATCATATTTCACCTGGTGGATGCAGTGCTCTCTATTTGGAAACCACTCTCTGAAGGGGATCACAAAGATTCTTTAAAAAAGATTTTCTACATTCACTGATTGATAGAGCTAAACATTTGCCAACAAATGAGACAGGCTGAGATGAAGAAGGGATACTCCAAATTTCTAGATTGTTCCAGCTTTTTTTCTGGATAGAACCCAAGGAGAAAAATTGTCCTGGAAGAGAAAAAGGAATTTCCTTCTTCCCTGCAGATATCCCTTGACCTGGGATAGAGACCCTGGGTATATGTAAAAATCAAATAGTAATGACCAAAACTGGAAAAAAAAAAAGGCTGCCATTCCACTGCAAAATAACTGCATGAAGTTGACAGTGTAAGAATTTTTTAAGACAAGCTGCTAATGAAACCTTAGATATTTCAGGCAGGGCTCTGCTTTTCTTGTCCCTGATTTTCTGAGGCAAGAAATAAGATGGTGAGCTTCTTGCAGTGCTTTAATATTAAGTAGATGGATTATTTCATTTTGTGCTATGGCTTTTCCATGGGTTACTGAAATGGAGGCAAAAAGCAGCTATTTCTGGAATTCAAATCTACAGGTTCCCTCTCAGAGACAATATCCAGTGACCTCATTTGAGCACAATTCAGTGGAACCAATAAAGGAGGTTAATTATGAATAACATTGGGAGACCTACAAATAACTGAAGTAACAGAAGGCAACTAACGACCTTGTATGTATTTTAGATATTACTAGCAAAGAGGTATCTTCTCCTGTGGCTGCTTCACCTGGTTATCTGATCTATATTTCTTTTAAAATGTCTGTCACTGACCAGGACTGCAAGTGAATTTTTCTGATGACTGAATTTTCATAAAGTTCCCCATTATGTCACTAGGTCTAGGAACAGACATTGCTTTTGTCCTGGAACAGAAATGGCTCAGGATTGGTCTGCAGACACTTCACCCTTCTGCTCAGGTTTTATAAGCAGCTGAATGCACTGCTGCTTTTCTGCCATCAATTTAATGATGCAATCCCAGGGTAACTGTTCAGACGCACTTTTTGTTATGTCCTGGGGTAAACGGTTAGTAGGTCTTATCCCATGAGCCTTTTTAAGATTTATCCCTGAACAATGGACCTGGACATCCAAACAACTGCACTAATGTCCCAGGGTAAAATGGTTTACTCTAGGAAAAATGCAACATCTTTTTGTAGCCTACAGTATCGTCATCGAATCATAGAAGTAGGGTCAGAAGGGACCTTATAGATCTTCAAGTCTGACCCCCTGCCTGGGCAGGAGAAAAAACTAGGCTCAAATGATCCCAGCTAGGTAGGCATCAAGCCTCGTCCTAAAGACCCCCAGAGTAGAAGCCAGCACCACTTCCCTTGGAAGTTGGTTCCAGATCCTAGCCGCCCTAACTGTGAAGTAGTTCTTACGGATGTCTAATCTAAACCTACTCTCCAACAACTTGTGGCCATTA